CGCATTATACTGTCCAATCAGGACACGGAAAGGGGAAACGCCGACGGCTGCGGGGACAGACGCCTAAAAAGCTAGTCCAAGTTGTTAATTCAGCCATTGTCGGAGTAAGATAGCTCTTTAGAGCTCACCTGACTCTTTTTCTACCCAAAAATGCAAGGCTAGGATGTCTAAATGCGACGGAGGCTCTAAGAGGAAGTCGAAGGGCCAATCGGCAAAATAGATACAATAGAAGTGCACAGAGTAAGTGTCGAAACCCAGGAAACTGACTAGCAAGCTTCAGCGCATCGTCTTGCTTGTAATTTTAGCGACTATCAATAACACTGGGTTAGCCGTCACCAAGGCTCCCTGTGGTCCATGGTCAATATCCTTATTTGAGAGGTGACATACGAAGAGGGCGGTATTGAGCTTGCACCCGGACGCCGGCTAACTGATCTCGACTATGCCGACGATATCGTCCTGCCAGCCTCAAGCTTTGGTGATCTACAGTCTGTAGGGTCACGTGTGAGTGAGATTGCTACATCGATTAGCTTGTCCATTAATACCGGGAAGACCAAATTATTCTCGACCTGAGCAGGCGAAGGCACACATCGGGGGATTAATGGTCGTCAACTTGAAGAAGTAGACAGCTTTAAATATCTCTGAGCTGCGAGGCTGCTACCGAACGGGCAGAGTAAGGACGACATTGTCTCCCGAATCAATGTTGCTCGTCGGGTTTTCTCAACCCTCCGAAAACGCCTATGGATTCGACCCGACATCTCTATCGCCACGAAGATCCGTATTTACCGTGCATCCATCCAGTCAGTCCGCCTCTATGGATGTGAATTCTGGGTTTTGCGCGTTGACGATGAGGGGACAACGCGAGTTTAATGAAGACAGTTTAACGCAATTCCTCGACATCTTTAATCTCCTACCGTTGCGTTGTTTGTTTTTCAGATTTGAATCCACAAAATGCGAAGCAGTGGCGACCGCTGCTGATTGGTCATCTGATTTTCCTCCTGATCCGAGGTGCCGATTCGGTGGGCGCGGAAGACCAGGTGACCGGTATCCTCACGAATGCTATCCAGGCTATCCGCAATGTTGCCAAGGTAAGCAGTGATGCATTTACGAGCAGTTGTACCTGTTTCTAACCTTCGTCTCATCTAAGGCCAGGGATAACAAACCAGTATAAGGATCACCACGCCCTTGTTTACTTTATTTAACTCCCTACTTATTTCTTAGTAGCCATGTATGTTTACTATTTTTTACTAACCGACGACTGTTCGTTTTTCGTCCGTAATTATGTAAACGACTTCTTTCTGGAATCTTTCTGCTGTATCGATGCCTTTCTTAGCTGTTGTTTTACCAGAAGGGATCTCAAGGGCGTTTACCTATTTTCCCCTTAATAAAACTGAACAGAGACTGACAGACTCTGCGGGTAGGAGACTGCAAGTTATCTTCTGCCTTAGTTCCCTCAATCCGTCAACATATCCTCCTCCCGGCTAGAAAACCCCTCGTGGTTCCTATGTCCAAATGTAGTCATAATTTCGAAGTATCAAAATACCACTCTGCCAGCACATTGTTGTTTACAACCAGTCCGTTGGGAAGCCTAGTCCGGAATCACATGCTGGCATCCTCACTGTCCGTGTGAACGTTATCATTCCTATTCCATCTCACAGTATCTTTTGCCTTCCTCCGCAGGGCTTTGCAGTTTGCATTGTGTACTTCGATGTGACTTAAGCACCCAATGGAGTCGATTACTCTCCTCTTATCTGCACGCCTGCATTTAATTGCTTTTCTCATCAACTTACTGACTATTGTCGACTACTTTAAATTTCCTTCAATATTTCTGCCCTGTCCTCATCGTAAATGAAGTTTCGTGGTATCACAATAGGATGTACTTATACTACTTGAAACAAGTGAGTAGTCTTGTGTCTTTAATATTCGACTAACCGACGGCTGCCCACCTTTAATCTGCAATTTTCAGCCACTGTGTTACCTATAGGGGGCTCAAAGGCGTTCGCCTACCTTTCCCTTAATAAACTGAACTGAAGTGAACTCTACTCCCATACATGCATATTACCAACCCCAATCTCACCCCCCCTCCTGCCTAAA